GCGCCTTAGCCGGTTGAGCTATAGGCGCCGAGCCGATTGACTTTTAATTAGCTGGAAATCTAAGGCAACTTTAAATATGCATGTGGGTGTGAGCATTAGAGACTTTCTGGAAGAGGAGTAATGAAGAAAGCTCGTAAGTTAAGACCTTAGCCACCAAGCTATGTGATACCATATTACACAGATTCTCTGTCACTGTTCATCCTCAGCACAGCCTAGTAGCATGAGGATGACTATTACCCAGTGAGTGCAAACATTCAGATGTTGCGATAACGAATGGGTAACAATTACTGTTACAGCAGACAACAACACTGCAGATGTCTCTCACATAGAAACACCCATGTACAAAGACAGAAACCCTAAAGTGAAGGCTACATGGTACCGGGACCTCAGTTCCTGCCATTTCCAACCACACTCAACTCTACTTCAACAATTATGATCTAAACATACTAAACAGGGTACAAATCCCAAAATGCACACTTTGCTCAGTGTCCTGGAACGCCTGATAGAATTGCTTCTGTGGACTGAGGTTATGCTCAAAGCCAGACAGTTTCTGCTTTAATAAAATAGTCCCTGAGAGAAGTCTACCATAAATACCACCTAACTACTGTTGATTCCAAAGAGTTTTAACAAACCATTGAGAATGCTAACTCTATGGTAATTTTCAAAATGAAAAGTTACGGTCAATTCTTGTTATTGGAGGTAGTTATGTTTAACGAACACTGAACTTTTAGTGATTTGGAAGACACTGCAGTTTTCATGCCTCAGGGTGACAATTAGGGACAACAGGTGGTCCTGGACGCAATGGGGTACAAGGGGTAGAATCTGAGCTGAAAGAATGACGGCCCCTCTGACATGCTGTAAAATGTACTTAGTATTCCAGTTGCTGTCTATCTCGCCAGTCGAGACACTCCCCAGTAGAATGCAGGCCTCCCACACAGCAAGCATCAAGAAATCCCTGTTTCACTGAATACTATCAAGCCATAAAAAGGAAGGAGATCCTGACACAGGTTACCATGAGGGTGAACCTTAGGGACATGATGCTTAGTGAAATAAGCCAGTCACAGAAGGACACATCCTGTGTGATTCCACTCACCGGAGGTCCCTGGGTGCCAGGGGCTGGGGAGGGGGTAGAGAGCTAGGGTTTCATCTGAACATAGTTTCAGTTTGGGAAGATGAGAAGCTTCTGGAGATGGAGGGTGGTGATGGTTGCACGACACTGTGAATGCGGCTTAATGCCACTAAACCATATACTTAAAAATGGTTAAGATGGTACATTGTATATTATATATATATTTTATCACAGTCAAAGAAAAAGAAGGCATCCTTTGTGGTGATGGAACAGTTTGGTCTTCACTGTGGTGCTAGTTATTCGAATCCAGACATGGATGGATTGTGGTTACGTGTAGTTATGTACATGGGAACTGTCTGGACTATTTTTGCAACTTCTTGTGAGTCTTAGACTATTTTAAAATAAAAAGTTACAGTCAATCCTTGTTATTGGAGGTGGTTATGTTTAGCGGCACTGAGCTGTTGCCTTCTAAGGCTGGGTTCCCGAGAAGGCTGCGGCCAGAACAAATTCTCCCCCAGTCAGTGCTTGGCCTCATCGTGTGTCTTCTGACAGACGCCCACTCCACATGCCCTGTGGGCTCACAATCACTGAGCTGGTGGCCATCGCGCCGGCACATGGTCCTGAACGCAGCTTCCTGACACATGGATTTTCTCTTCTGCGAGGCTCCTTACAGCCTCCTTGCGCTCAGGGACATGAGGCAGCTTTTTGGCACTGTGCTTGGGAGCCATGTTCAACAGCAAAATCAACAGAAAAAGCAAAAAGTGCACAGAACATGGCACCCGATACACTGCAAAACAGACACAGAGGCCAAGGGTCACCTACTTCATTTAACCTTGTCTGAGTGTGTGTGTTGGGCCACTCAGATTTTATACCATTCTGCTTAAATCCACAAATGAACCTGAAAGTCCCATGAGTATGGGGGTTATAAATGAGCATGATTTGGGGGTTATAAACTTTAGCAGGTAGATAGCAGGTAGATAAATTTGCAAATATAGCACTGGGGAATAATGAGAGCTGACTGTATATAAATAAGTTGAAGGAGGAGTTATTATAATTCGGAGTATTCTTATTTGCTCAAGTACCTACTGTATTTCTTTTCTTTACTTTTTTTTTTTTTTTTTGAGACAGTCTCACTATGTCATCCTTGGTCATCCTTGGTAGAGTGCCCTGGTATCACAGCTCACAACCTCAAACTCCTGGGCTTAAGGGATTCTCTTGCCTCAGCCTCCCAAGTAGCTGGGACTTTAGGCACCCGCCACAATGCCCAGCTATTTTTTTGTTGCAGTTGTTGTTAGCAGGCTCTGGCTGGGTTTGAACCTGCCAACCCTGGTGTATGTGGCTGGAGCCCTAACCACTGAGCTATAGGCACCAAGCCACCTAATGTATTTCCTTAACCACTGAGAATTCTCTGCTTTTCTTTATAATTTATTGCATAAACACTTCTGAAAAAGGATCTGACACGGCCATCTATTTAAATGGTGGTGGGGAGGAGAATTTTCATAGAAAGATTTAACGATGCACACTTAGTAGCAAATGTAACCTACTGAGATCAGTTACTCTTCTTCCTCTGGAGTGGTCTACAGCTTCCCCCTGGTCGCTGACAAATTGAGACTTTTCAAATAAGAGGTGAACCAGCCACAAATCTCTTCCTGGAGCACAGGCAGCCTGACACATGAGTCAGCAGCTCTGCTACAGGTCAGCTGTATCAGCTGTCAATCACGTTTTTTTTTCTCTTAGAGACCAGATCTTACTCTGTCTGTCACCTAGGCAGTGTAGTGGCTCTGTCACAGCTCACTTTAGCCTTGAACTCCTGGGCTTAAGCTATCCTCCTGTCTCAGACACCTGAGTAGCTAGGACTAAAGGAGCATGCCACTGTGCCCAGCTAATTTTTTTATTTTTTAATTTTATTTTCTCACCATGTTGCCCAGGCTGGTCTCAAACTCGTGGCCTCAAATAATCTCCTGCCTAGGCCTTGCTGAGTCTGGGATTACCTGAGAAAGACACCAACCCTGGTCTCAATCATGTCTTTTTATTCTATATTTTTGATACTTTGACATCTTATGGCCATGCTGACCCAGAGAGACAGCCCCACCCAAGGCTGGGCAACTTCTAGAGCAGTCAAGAGCTCACCATGAGTTCAAACCAGCCCGTCCTGGTTTAGCCCTCAAACGCCTCCCTTCTTGGGCTCTCACACCTCAGGTCACGACCACCCTGTCCTCATCACCCTAGGGCCAGGTTCCAGATAAGCAGGGCCCAATTCTGAGCCTGCCCACATTGCCTTCCCTATTCCTTCCCATGGAGACCACAGTGAGGCTCTTGCCCACACTTTCTCCTCTGCCCCACCAGCCCTGTGTGGCCCTGCTTCCTGCTCCCAGGAGACCATGAGCATAAACTCCCTTGTTTGTGACAGTCATCTTTCTGCATCTGTGCCACTGCACCTGGGTAAAAGAGATCCCAGATATCCTAAAAATGCCAGTGGAGACTCTATCTCAAAAAACTCTTGTCCTGCTGTAGCTTCCTGTCA